GGGATTACCTGGTTCAAATTCTAGAGTACTAGGTTGTCCTTCCTCATGACTTCACTGTTGATACTTGAGTTTTAGTTCAGCCCTGTTTTCTCAATAATTAACCATTTCCTTTCATCATTTACATTCAGTGAGTGTTAAATTTTAGGCATAGAAGACACAGAACCTAAGGAGAATATTTTCAAGAGCCACAGGATGTAAAAGGAAACTGATACATTTTAATGTGTTATAAACATGCAACATCACACGAGGTGCTATAGTAAACACCATGCCTACTAACACAGATTAGGTGGTGGAATGAACTGCTAAATGAAGGTGAACAGAATTGCATGCATAAATAACAAAGACAAGTTCCAATTTTATAATTTGTAATAACTCATACACAGTATATGAGTATTGTAATGTTCATTACAGTTCATGACTTTCACAGTATGTTATGTAAGTCTTTTTTTTTTTTTACCATAGTACTATATTTTGAAGCTTTTCATTCTTATAAGAAAAAAAGTGGGCATAAGACAGCATAACCAAGGCAGTGTGTTTTTTATGTATCTTTCATTCTGTAATAACCTCAATGTTGAGATTGTGTATGTATTGCCAAGGTTCTATACTAATTCGACACAAGACCAATAAGTACTATATTGCTCCATTCCTGTAGATGGAGAAGAGGGAGTTCTAAACTAGATGGGAGTGGAGTGTTAAATCAAATGTTCATAGCATGACTCAACTTTTCTCATATTGTGGGCAAAATTATTAAAAATAAAGGATGCTTTATCCCCATACTTGGTAGACTAGGGCATCTTCAAAATAGCTGCTATCATACTTGGTTTTAAGGTTATCATTGGAAAGATATTTATTTTATGGACTTTATTTTCACATTTTAGATACCCATATTACCAAAAACAGCCAGGACACATGACTATCAAATCAAAAAGACATTTATGATCCCTGAAGATTCTTTTTTTGTTTGTTTTAAGGAGGATAAAACAGAATAAACCAATTAAAGCAAACCAGTGTAAGAGATACAGGACTTTAAAACATGATGAAATCGACAATAGTTTACCAAAATGCCTTCTCATGTCTTCAGAATAACTGTAGACAACTTGGACGTAGTAAAAATTGAACAGAACAGCATTGAACAGAAAAAATAAAAACAAAGTAATGTGAATGCAATAAAGGATTTTAAACAAACCAACAGTAAATACAAAATTGCTACCATAATGTATCTTGCCATCTTTGAAATAGCTGCTCCTGCCGTAAGATTTAGGATAAACAAAGGAAAAGAGAATAAAACCCAATCCAACAAAACAGTGGAGATGATGTAGGACCTCAAAACAAGACCATAGGGAGTCAATGGCTACATCCCTCAGAAGGAGATCCCCTCGAGATGCCACACTGTGTACAACTATCCCCTTAACCCTATGATCAGACCACCGTCCCTAGACCTGCAGTGGCAGTGAAACAAAAAAGCACCACAGGCATCCAATTGCATTTCACCTCCATAGCTATCATCACAGTCTGTGTTTCTTGGGATAAGCTGGTTGCTTATAGTCTGGGATGGTGGTGGGGATTGGTATTTCTTGTTTGCAAGCCAGTGCACAGAAAGAGGCTGGGGTTTGGCTTTTTCCCATCCAGTTGTGGCCCACACATGGTGCTGCTTCCTAGCTGGGCTTGTTTGCTGATGTGGCCTTGTTGTCTCTCCTCCCAGTCTGTGACTGACCAATTCCTGAAGATGTTGTCCACCCAGCTCATCCATAGTCAGTAGAAGCAATGGAAAGTTAAAGTGGAATTTTGAAAATGTGATTGAAATTTGTACTGTCACAAATGTGTCATGGTCAGAATTCCTAAAGACAGTGTATAAATGGAAGATAGGCTCTCATGTGGTGAAGTATTAATGAATAAAATCCATTGAATTTCCTGTAATTCCTCCAAAGTGTGATAGAGTATTGAGAGCATTAGTGAAGCCCACCAAGTCATTCACAGATATGAAAACTCTGCAAGTCAACACAGAACAGTATCCTAATAGGCAGTAGGCTGTGTAATAATTCAACAGTACTGACAGAGGCTGTGCTAACTGCTGCTCAGCATTAGCCCTGTAAATGCAGGGAGTAAGTACTAGATGCTTTGTCTGGCATTCAAAGATGCTTATGAATTGATCACAAAAATTGTTTGTATTATAGATGTGCTTCCACACAGAGGCCATGACTTTCAATTTAAGTGAGATTCATCAAAAATTAAACAGATCTGGAACCTGTGAAATCATTCTTCCTATCTTTTATAGTGTTTTTGATTTTAGCATTTCTTTTCAGTCCTATTATGAAGTTTCAGTTTTCACTTCCATTATACATCTGTTCTTTCATGTTCTATTCTATTCCAATTCTTAGCATATTAATCATAGTTATTTTAAATTTCCCATCTGATAATTCTGAATAATTTCTGATGGTCATACTGTAAGGTAAGTGCTCTGTAGTTGAGAAAAATATAGCATGGAGGTCTCATTAGGTCTTCTAGCTAATACTGATTATAAAGAATTAAAAACTAACTTTATTAGAGAAATTATGCAGGAAAAAGGTCAAGGATAGGGGTAGATAATGAGACAAAACAGATAAAGAAAAACTCCAAGTGGTTCTTGAACCTGCACTGAGAGACAGGAAAAAAGCTGACAGGAAGGACACAGAGAGAAAGCCAAATAATAGTCTGTGGCCATCTTTCAGAGAATATAGAGAAGGTAAGGGGTGGACTTTAAGGCAGTCTGTACTCATACCTGTGTACTAACATGTACGGGTATGTACCTGTGGGTTTACTCTAGAGTCACTAGGATCATTACAGAGTGCAATAGATACCCACTTACCATTGCAGAGTGCAATAGATGCCCACTTACTAACTCTGAACTCACTATGACCAAAGTGCTCTCTTGTCAACTAACCACCCACCCCAAAGATAAGGTCTTAAAAAGTAGATTCAGGACCAGTGAACAGATAGAAATAAGCTACATGGAGAGCACCAGAAGAAATGCCCTTAGGCAGAAAGGCAGGGATGTTGATCTAGTTACTGGAATTTGGGGGCATCTCTGACCCCCAGTAAAAGCAGCCAAAAATAAATGCTCATTGGTCCTCCATCTTTCCAGAGCCTTCTGCACTGATTATTACCAAGGCAGCTATCTATATCTCTTACCTTCATCTTCCTTGTTTTTAAAACAAATAAATTGTGTTACTTTCCTTAAACTTTGTCCCTCTGACTTTTTATTTATTATTGGAGATGAGCCTATGACACAAGCAGGCTGCTTGACCAGCAGGAACAGTGGTGCTCATCCCACAGCTGGGACACTTTTGGTTCCCTGAACAGGAGCCAGACACAACAATATTAACCTTTAAATGTTAGTTGAGATACTACTCAGTAGCTTTGCAAATTTTTAACTAGGAAAAGTTGAAAAGGACTGTCATTTATTACAACCTCATGTAGTTTTACAGTTATTTTTATAGTATTCTCAGTTAAATAAAGGCATGGGTATTTGCCTTAAATATCACATTAAAAATATAAACTGCTTTCAACATGATTTTGCATAATACATACTATTATAGTGTATGAAATCTCCCAGCACATTTCCAGTTCAAACCTATAATGAACTTCCACCAACAATGCTGTGTTTGTTTGTCTCCCTTGCTAGGCAGTGACCTTGTTGAATAGAGAAATCTGCTATTCTTCTGCATCTAGTAATGCTTATCATATGCCTTACTATTCAATAAATGCACCATAACATTTCATGTAATTGTGAATTAAATAAAGTAATGTGCCACTACCAGGAATTGGACAGAATAGAAGTGAACCTAATGGATAAGTCATTTTGGCCTATGTTTACATCACTTTTCTCTTTTGTAAAATGAATTAGATTATATAATGAGCCCTTGCTAATCTGGTTTCCTGGTGTAAGCACAAATAACTAGCTTTGTATGTCTATAACTGCTTAATGATTTGTATACTGCAATTAGTGTGATTTTTTTCTCAGCAAAGTTTCACAGCGCACTTTGAGCAAGATATAGCAAACTGACACAAAGGACATTCTTGCTGAAGCATCTCTGGAATGTAGCTCCTGAAAGTCTGAAGAGGCCACTTTTCAGTATTAGTTTAGTGTTAGTTTTCCAATTTTCTCTCTCTAGTTTGCTAGGGAGAATGGGTATGTATTGTAATAAAAGGATACATGAACATTGAAATTAAGCATTTAAACTTAGACAAATGAAATCACACATTTAATACTGGCATTCTTCTGGACGACTGATTTTGAGGTTCATGACATGAGCCTTTCTTTATAGGGTAAATGTCCATTTTAAACTTTAAGTCAAACAAATGTGACTTACAGGCAAAGTAAAATTATATGAGTACTGTTGTCCTCTAATTTTTTATAAATTGGAAGATATTCTCAATATTAAAATATTTTGTAGTATATTTATATCTTCCAGATTACTTGATAATTTTTTTATAAAAATGTCTGTCATCTGTTATAAAAATAATTTATATTAGGTCATGAAGGTGAATTAGGAACCCTTTTTAATTTTAGCAAGTATTTTCTGAACTGAAAGTGTCATAATGCTGACACTGTTTTATATAATGGATTGTGAATAATATGAATGTTTTGTTAGTATAGAAAGTTTAAAACACAGGAAATTTTTTCAACTCAACTAAAACTTTTAACTAGAAGAAATACAATAAACTAATAACATGTATGTCTGCAAGAAATTTACATGGATGGCAAAAATTATTTTTTAAATGATTTACTTTATGGAACATAAAAGCCTGAGTGAACTAATATCTTTACTCTTATACTGTCATTCAGTGAGTGCTTTAACTGGAATTCTGAAAATTGATATGCACAAAAATTTAAACTGTAAGGAATGTTACAGCAAAAATTAATGGGCATTTGAAATGTTCCTTGTAAGCATCATGTTCATGTCGGAAGTGTAATTTAATTATAAATTTAAAAATAATTAGGTGTACCTGCACTCTCTTCATTATCGATCCTGAGTGAACACTGATGCAGTTTTTAGTTTCAATAGCGCTTTCTTCACCTCCTTGTTCCTCAGGGTGTAGACAGCAGGGTTGAGCATGGGAGTCAGCACAGTGTAGAAAACAGCAACAACTCCATCCACAGCGTCCTTGGAGCTGGGTCTCAGGTAGATGAAGAGACCAGGACCAAAGAAACAAAGGACCACAATGCAGTGGGAGGCACAGGTCTGAAAGGCTCTGTGTCTCCCTTCTGAGCTGCGGATCCTCAGGATGGAGCAGACAATAGACACATAGGACAGTGTTATCAGGAGGAAGCAGCCAGAAGCCACCACACCAATGTTGACAAAGATCACCATCTCATTGACAGAGGTGTCTGCACAGGCCAGCTTGAGGATGGGCGGGGCATCACAGAAGTAATGCTGGATCTGGTTGGGTCCACAGTAGGGCAAACGGAAGGTCAAAGTGGTCTGGACAGCAGAGTGCAGTGAACCACTGAGCCAGGTGCCAGCGGCTAGGAAGGTGCATGTTCTCTCACTCATCAGGCTGCTGTATCTGAGGGGGTAACTGATGGCCAGGTAACGATCATAGGACATGACCGTGTACAGGAAACACTCGGTGCTCCCCAGGAAATGGAAGGAGTAGAGCTGGGCCATGCAGCTGTGGAAAGAGATAGCCCCGCCACTTGGGGACATCAAGGTCATCAACATTTTGGGCACAGTGACAGTGGAGAACCACATGTCAATGAAGGACAGATTTGTGAGGAAGTAGTACATGGGAGTGTGGAGGTGGGGATCCACCCAGATCACCAGCAGGATGAGGAGGTTCCCCAGCACAGTGAGCACGTAAATCAGGAGGAAGAGGCCAAAGAGCGTGGTGTCCAGTTCCAGTGTGTGCGGAATGCCCGTGAGGAAGAATGTTGTCAGTGTGCTCATGTTGGATATCATTTCTCATATGTGGGATTCTATCCCTCTGAGTAGGAAGACAAATCTGGAATTTATAGAAAACATATGTCACATCAATTTGGCAACTATATTGTCTCTGGTGGAAACCACAAAACTTAAAATGTCTTTTATCATTTTTGTGGTCCTTGCTCTCAAAAGGAGTCTTGGAGAATGGTGGTTTCTTCTTTACGTCAGTAACAAAGTCAGCCCAGATAAAAAGAAGACTGAATGTGCATGAAAAAATCATTTAAAATTTAAAAAGATAAGCAAATTAGTTACTCTGTTTCCTGTAGAATTAGCAAAGATAAACACAACACATAATTGTGTAATGTTAGCAGGATTCTGCTACCACCATCCCTTTATTCAAGCACCTCTCATTTAGTCTTTTTTCTCTCTGATACACAAACAGACACATACACACATTCACACACGCACACATGGGTACACTAATTTTAATAACATTTCTAAAATGGTCTCCATTTCTATCCTTTGTGGCTGAGCAATAGTTCCCTCACACATCTCTCTAGGAATACTGCAGCCGACTTCCCATTTGTCTCTTACCCAGTCCACTCATTCGTGGCCCCGTGAAACAGCAGATTATTCTGTCACAGAGCTCATCTACAACTAACTTCATTTCAGGGTCTTTTACAGAGTCTTTTCAATGGTAGAACTCAGCTGGAACTGAATTGGGTGCTCAGTCTTAATGTTCATTGAGAAAATATTTAATTTATGGTTTTACAGAATGTAGAGCCTTTTTACAAAACTATGTAATATTGGCTAAGTCATGACTAAGGCAATCTAATCCAAAGCTAAAGAACAATGAACAAATTGAAGATATCTAAGAAGAAGTAGCTCTGCTTAAGAAATAAAGAGAACTTACCTGTAGCCCTGGTGTTTGTGTTTCAGGGCTGAACTAAAATGAGAGTAATATCCTTGTCATAAAGCAAACACAATTGTACCCCTAAAAACAGGTATTAACAATAGTTTTAGAAGAGTAGTATAATCATTGCAAAGAGTCCAACAATGAAATATGCTATAGTTTCTCCAATTTTTGCTACTTACCAATTTTACAAACAAGTTTTGAACTATAAAGCTGAATTCAGGTTTAAAGAAACTTTCAATCCTTGATGAGCAGTATAATTCTTTTTCTTGCACAGTGCAAAACATGGAATAAAGTTCTATGGCAACAAATATTTCAAGTAGAACTTAAAATTGTTTAATATTTTGGCAACTTTGGTCTTGGCCCTAGATTTCTCATGATTAAAGATAATGCTATGGTGGATATTTAGAATTTTATTCCAACTTCTTAAAATTTGTTCTGCTTTGATGGACCAGCATTCCATAAGCTATCTTATATAAACCAAAATGTTTTCTCAAATAAATAAGAAAAAACAAAGATACTCAGGTTTCAAGTTCTGTGAGGAGTAAGTAATTTTTTCTGATTTCTTCCCTGAATTCCAAAGTGGAAAATATGGGCTTTTACTCCCAGAGGGATAATTATCTGGTGAGGTTTAGAGTCTCTTTGATGAATCTCTAACTTTCTGGTGATTATAGCTCATCACAGTAAAGTCCTAGGGATCTTGTGTACTCCAGGGATAATCAGAATGTTATTTCTTGTACACTAATATCCTAATTAATTAAGCGTCCTCCCTCTGCGTCTTAGCTTACTAGTACTATGCAAGTTTCTGGCTAAGCTTGGATGTTACCTCAGCTCATCTCTCAGAGATTTCCTCTTCTCTGACACTTCTGCATTTTTACCTTGTGTCCTCTGTGGTTATACTGTATTTATATTTACATTTTTGCAAAAGTTATTTTGATTTTATTATTTTCTCATTTTAGTTTTACTTAACTTGTCTAAAATGTGAGAAGGTACAAATTTTTTCTCAAATTAATGTATGTCTTATCTATCAGGAAAAGTTTTATGAAACCAAAACCAAGAAATGATCTTATATGGCAGAGACCAAAGCACTGTTTTGGAGAAGGAAAATTGTGGCGTTATGCACCTTTTGTGCCAATGAAGATATTGTTGCCTGTGAATAGATAACAGAGCTCCCTTAAAAAAGGACCAAAAAACTGAAGCCTGGTGAATTAGTACTTCTGCCAATTATCACAACATCGGGTTATCTGACACTAGGCACCCATTTATATTGACATATTTAATATGAATGATGAAAGAATATTTTAACAATTATTTGCAATTTAGATCTACTTAATGTGTTTCAAAGTCTCTTAGTTAAGTGTATGCTATTATTTTTTTTTGTACTGAGGATTAAATTCAGGACCTTCACACTGAGCTACACCCCCAACCCCTTTACTTACTTATTTTTATCTTTGAGACAGTTGCGCTAAGTCTGTAAGTCACCCCGACTGGACTCAAACTTGCTGTCCTCTTGCATCAGCCACCCAGGGTGCTGGAATTACAGAGTTACATCATCATAACAAATTTCAGACTCCTAAATTTTATTAGTTTATATATCCATCTATCTTCTTTTGCATATTGTGGTGAATGCTGCTATCTTCCATTTATTTGGGCATGAAGTTGTATATTCTTTTTATAAAATATTACTTTTTTCTCCTAAGTAAACTTACTTTAATTTTCTTCTCTCTTGGGAGTGGAAGAAAATACTGATGCTGCCTATATATCTGTTGTTCACATATTAATTAGATCCCTTATGCATACTGAAAAAATTACTAATTTTCTTATAAGGAAAACTCATCACTGGGGGTGAGTTTTACTTGTTTTGGAAACAAGAAAGGAATAATCCTTTATTTTGGTTCTAGTCACTAAAATTCAGTGAGATTCAGTATGACTAGTGAGCCAGGACAAGTAATATAAAAAATTCTTCATTGATAATCTTTGCGCATGGGAAAAGGCCCCACAGATTCCACTCACATTCTGATGAGTTCAGCTGATACTTTGAAACTAAAGAGGATTGGAAGCCCATGCACTAACACCTGGTACCCCTATTTATCCCCAAGTGTTGGAATAAGCCTAATCCTTGTTGGTGCACATAGCCTAGAACTGACAATCTCTAATGCAACCGGTTTTGTTTTAATAATTTGACTTGTGACATAAAAACTATACAGATGCAAAAATGTGTAAACATAAATGCACAACTTTATTATAAAGCACTATTGCAATCATCTCTAAACTTAAAAAAAAAAACATACCAGCTACCTTTGAGTCCCCTCATCTCCATTATGAACCCAGTCCTGTCCACCCATTCTAAAAACTTCTGTGATTATTCCAATTTTTTATTAATTTTGAAGATATTGCCAAAATACCATTAAAACTTGCTTTTTAAAGGAGATTAAAGAGGACTTAAAATGGAAAGATATCCCCTGTTCCTGGATAGGCAGAACAAATATAGTCAAAAGTGCCAAGTTTCTAAAATTAGTATTCAGATGTACTACAATCCATTCAAAATACCAATAGCAGTCATCACAGAACTAGAGAAAACAATCCTGTCATATGAAACTATGAGAGACCTAGACTAGTAAAAGCAATCCCGTGTAATAGTGCAAGCAAGAAAGTGTGCAATCCCAGACTTCAAATTATATTACAAAGCTACAGTGATAAAAAAGCATAGTGTTAGCAAAAAACACTTATAGATCAATGGATCAAAATAGGAGATGAGGAAGCAACTACAGGTATGCTCAGTTACCTAACTTTAGAAGGGGGCCAAAAACTTTCGTTGGTGGGAAGATATCCTCTAACAAATGGTGAAAAGAAAAGTCATTCCACATGCCAAGATTGAGATTAAACCCATGCTTGTACCCATGTAACAGACTAAAATCAAAATGGTTAAAAATTTATATATTGAAACAAACAATATGCTGGAACACAAAATAGATAAAACTTTTGAAGTCATAGATGTAGGCAAGGACTTTCTGAATAGAGTCCCAGTTGAGCAAGAAATAATACCAAGAATCAACAAAAGGATCATAGCAAATGTAAAAGCTTCTGCACAGCCAAAACCAACCAACCAACCAAAAACAACCAAAAGACTGAAGACGCAACCTATAGAATGGGAAAAACTTTGCCACCTATTTTTCAGCAGAGGACTAATATCTAGAATGTATAAAGAAGACACACAAAAGTTAAACCACTACAAACTAAAAGACCAAATTAAACAATGGAAAACTGAAATGGATATACACAATTCTTAGGAGTACAAATAACCAATAAATACATGAAAAAAAAATGGCCATTTGAGAAATGCAAATTACAACACTTAGATCCCATCCCATTCCAGAAGGAATGGCTATCTTCATAAAGTCAAATAACAATTGCAGGTGAGGATGGTGAGGAGAGAGGGTTCTTCACTGTTGGTTGGACTGTATAAAGTATTACAGTCACTATGGAAATCAGTAAGAAATTCCTCAAAACACTAAAAATAGAAGGTTCATTTGATTCAGTTATTCTTGTTTTAGGTATCTTCCTGAAAAATTTGAAAGTATTACATTATAGTGATACATGCATACTCATATTACAGCAGCACAATTGACAATAGCTAAATCTTGGAAGCAGCTGATATGCCTATCAACACATGAATAGGTAAAGAAAATGTGTTGTTTATTCACAGTGGAGTATGACTACTCTGCCAAAACAAAGGATAAACCAGGGTCATTTAAAGGAAATGGATGCACCTAAAGACCATAATATTAAAGTGAATACACAGGCTATACACAAGTTTAAATATCATTGACTTCTCATATATGAGATAAACAAAATATAAAGAAAGAGCAAAATAAAGTTATAGAAAATAGAAAATAGTAACATATTTAGTATCTGGAAAGAGGGGATGGAGATAAAATTGAAAGAGACAGGCATTGTGCTCTATTCATGAATATATATATATATGAAATGGGATTCAGGACATGGAAAGAGGAGAAAGGAAGGAAGGGGATAAAAATAATATGTGTCATGTACATGTACCAAATCCCCACAGTGAATGTTATCATTATATACCACAAATACACAACAATATAACAACAAAGAA